CAGTCCTGTGGGGTGAGTTGGGCTGAGAGAGGGAGTGGCTGGACCAAAGTTACCCATCCGGTTTTCATGCTGAAGGCAGGAATTAGAACTACAGTCTCCCAGTTGCTAGCCTGGTATCATAGCTATATATATCCTCAAAGAACTGTAAAAACTCCCCGCTAAGCTTTGCCCTACAATATTGTCAAGAGATGTATAAGTAGTAAATGTCCTATGTATGTGGAGGTACCTCTAAGGAGAAGGAGATACCAGAATTAGAGAAAGTAGAGTATGTCATACATGAATCCAACAAGAATGTAACTCTTGGTAATAAAAAAAGATTGTTCATCCCAGTAAAGCATGATATGTTATTTATATTATTGTTTATGACAACAATTGTGTACAGATGATTTCGCTTCCCATCCCATCCCATTCCTTGAAGCAACTTTGAGCCAATTTATTTTGATTCTTTTGTGAGGTGGGAGGAAAATTCACACACACACACACACACACACAGTTCTATGACCAGGATTATATAACAGTAAAACCTACATAGATTAACTGTGGTTGTTGTAATGCTCCAACTTCATAGGAAAATGAAGTGTTGAATCGAATGTACATGTTGAAACGTAAGGGTAAGATCATAAGCTGTAAAATTGTAGCTGAGGTTTTTGAGGTGCCAATAACATTGCATATTTCCAAGGAAAATAGTTTTCAGTTTTCCTCAGATAGAATGTCAAAGATAAAAAGAGTATATGCTGGGTTACATATACAGTAAAAACCTGCTGGTAGAAGAAAAATACATTTGGAAAGTTTCCCCCCCCCCTCACATTCAATTAAAAAACTTGAATAGCTGATATAAAAAAGGCAGTTTTAGAGTTAGATTGCTCTCACATAGAAAGTGTAAATAAGTTTCTATATGCACATATATACACATATATATTTAAAGATTTTATATATACACATACTGTATATATTTTAAAAAAGCTCAGAGTCTCCCATCCTATGTTATGTGGCACTTTAATAGCATGCTGGAATTTGGTTAAAGAATGCTGACAGGGAGAATGAGCTCCACAGATACAATTCATAAGAGACTCTTAGAAGCAGGCACCTTGCTTCTCTGCAATGATGAAGTAAAGCTGAAAACAGCATGTAATGAGGCAAGTATCTATGTAAGAATTCCTAGGTTACTAGACTTCTGTAAGTCTAAGAATATGTGGATGAAATGATCTAATAGATCTTATAAATCAAAAATTCACATCTTAAATATATCTGGGGAAAACGTCATAGAGCATTTCTCGTAAATGTTATAAAAAGGACACATTGTGATCAATCCTGCATTTTGTGATGAACATATTACTAAGTAATAAAAGCAGGATTTATCATATGGAAATGTACAGTTGTACCAGATTATGGTAACCCTCAGAGCAAACAAATAAATGAATACTTTTTGACATCATTTTGTACCCTGGATTCAGAAGCCAAAACTTATGAAGGCTAAAATGACATCAAACATTCAAACATGCCTCAAAACCCAATTGTCTACAGGTAGTGATGGTCAAGTTAAATTGATATAAAAGTTACTGACTTATTTACTTCAGTTCCATTCCTATACCCATTTTTCTCCTTTCTGGAGCTGTTACCACCCAGAGAGAGAGAGATGGCAAGAGTATGCCTCACTTTTCAATCTATATATTAATTTAATAATTTAATAATTCAGGCTCTCACATCTTTGACTCTTACTCTTCAATGTTAGCAGATTCTGCAATTGCAGTTTTGTTATATGCAGATGACATAGCAATTTTGTCTGTCTCCCAAACAGGAGTGAAAAAGGCATTGGCTCTCTCTTATCTAAAGAACAATGATAAAAAAATAACTAGTGGTTTTATTTTTGTGCACAATTAACTATAAGATGCATGAATGGCCAATTAACAGGGCATCAATAGAGCAGATGTGTGCTTATAAATACCCTGGAGTGCAGTTCGAGGCCTCCTTATCTTAGAGTACACATTTCTCCTTTTGGGTCAGAGTTTTCAGTGGCGCTCTTCAGTTGTCTTGAGATTTTTCCATTGAAAGAGAACATATTTTATTTCTGAGGCTTGCAAGATCATTTCTTTTGTTGTTTGTGGTATTCATTTTTGTACTTGCATAAATTTTAATATCCTATCCAAGGTCAGCCCAAATTTATAAGAGCTATGGTTGCTGTGCTAAGATTCATCAACAATGCTGCCAGGTAGAGAGAGATAGGTTTGGTTTATGTAGAAGTCAGAGTCTGGTACTATTACATTAATTACTAGTTAAAATTAATGTTTTGTCTCCTTGGATCTGGCTCCAGTGGCTCTCAGTGATCATTTTAAATTAACCTGGCTAACATGAGCTAATAGCAAACTCGTCTTTAGCTCTCTTCAAACAGCCTCCGCCCATTGAAGTTTGAAAGTGCTAGGAGCGATCTTGAGCAGCATATCTGGGCATTGATTTCCAAATCAGTCTAAGCCTAGTATTCAACACCACAGTCTGTGTTTCTTGTTAAATAGGCCTGTGCCATCATCCTATCTCTCCTTCATTCTAACTCTGAAATTTTGCCAGGATTTCACCTTGACCAGATTGGATACACTCCCCAATGCAGTCCTGTATTTTTTATAATTTTTATTCCACCTTTATTATGTTATAAGAAACTCAAGATAGTAAATAACCCTAAAACTCTTCTTTCTTCCTATTTTCCCCACAACAACTCTATGAGGTGGGTTAGACTGAGAGAAAGTGACTGGTCCAAGATCAACCATCCTGCTTTCATGACTAAGGCAGGACTAGAGCTCTCAGTTTCCTAGTTTCCAGGCCAGTGCTCAACCACTACACCAAGCTCGCTCTTATAAAAATAATCTTCAACATTTGCAGAGAGCTCCATCTCAAATCATATTCAACTATTTCATTTTAAAGAAATCTTCAACAAGGATTAGGATGCTTATTTGTTGCTTCTTCTATTCACAGCTTCTGGAGGCAGGTTGTTCTACTGAGTAATTGTTCTAACTGTCAGGAAATTTCTCCTTAGTTCTAGGCTGCTTTTCTCTTTGGTTAGTTTGCATCCATTGCTTCTTGTCCTGCCTTCAGGTGATTTAGAGAATAGCTTGACTCCCTCTTCTTAAAAGCACCTGAAAGCAGGACAAGAAGCAATGGCTGCAAACTAACTGTTATGTCCTGGGCCTGTGATTGACAGAGCAGGTACAGGAAGCCACAGGGAGATCCGGGCAGACCACATGGCTGCCTGGGCCAGACAGGCTGTCTCCAGCTTATTGCGTACGCGCAAAGCGGGAAAATACATTGCATTTATTGGCTGATGCTGTTCCATGCAAAAGAGTATAAAAGGGATCCATGCCATTTTGTGTTGTTCTATTGAAGCTTGAATAAAGAAGCAATTGTTGTTACTCCTGCCTCATCTCAATGCCTTACCAACGCACAGAATAGAACACTAACCAAAGAGGGAAGCAACCTAGAACTAAGGAGAAATTTCCTGACAGTTAGAAGAATTAATCAGTGGAACAACCTGCCTCCAGAAGCTGTGAATGCTCCAACACTGGAAGTTTTTAAGAAGAGACTGGACAGCCATTTGTCTGAAATGGTATAGGGTTTCCTGTGTGAGCAGGGAGTTGGACTAGATGACCTCCAAGGTCCCTTCCAACTTCATTATTATTATTATCAAATGGTCAGTATGTATCTGTGATGGGCAGATTTTGAAGATTTATGAATCTGAAGGAAGAGCACATAGTTGAATAGCAATTAAATACAGATATTCTTTGACAGAATTAATCTGTCAATTAATATGACTAATCTGTAATTAATCATCTTGTGATCTTTATATGTGAATAATGAGTTGCCAATGACTAAGGTACATGATGACATATTTCAGGATAAGGAAGTTGGGTATTGATTAGCTAGATCAAGGCCAAGTAGATATATGGCACAGAGGCCAAGTGTACCATCAAGCAGGGAGAGGAGAAACAGGTGACCACACTTGTGTAATATTTAAATTCCCACCATTCATAAATAATAGTAGTCATCTTAATAAAAATCTGCTAGAAGTGTAAGCATTCTGACAATATTTAATATTTCATTTTAAAACTGGAATAATGAATGCTAAATTATATGGCAATATCTACAGCAGACCTGTATGTATGACATTGAAATTAATACTAAATGAATTCATTACAAGAAGGATAATTACTATGAATGGTTAATAAATTAATAATGACAGTACATTTAGGATTCCATGCATACATAGAGCATTAAATATCCAATTAGCTAGCTGTTTGTAACTGTAGGAATAAAATGTGATAAAGATATTTGAAACTGGTATATCTATTGGCTTTTAAAAAATGAATACTTAGGTTTTTTATTGTTCTACCCTGTTTATAGAGCTGTTGTTTCTAAAGTGCACATAATTTCTTCCAAGATGGTTATTTACATCATTTTGGAAAAAAGTGCTTTCTATTCTTTCTTTCCAAGATATTAATAAATAATATACAAGACAGAAGAGGACCTTGTTTAGATAGATGCACAATCAATGACTATTATTTGTTACAAAGAGTTGGTCATAGTGTAAATTTATTTCCAGCTCATGGGGGCTCTAGTGCTAGCATTTTTATTTCAGTGCTAGCCTTCAGTATATGATTAAATGCCTAGTTACAAAGTGCATTTTGCTCTGTAATAGAGTTGACTGGACTTGGGCAGCTAATGCACTTAAATAATAATAGGAAATTAGGAGAAAGGTTTTGAGACAGATACAAGTTCAACCACCTTTTCTTAGGAATTAAAACCTGACAACACAATAATTAAAATTTTCATACTTTCTTAATTAATTTAGAAAAAGCTTTAGCAATGCAGCCATAATGGAAATACATTAAATTAGCACTGCTATTCCATTTTCACTAGAAAGAAAACCCACCCTAAAACATGCGGTAGATTAGTATATTTACCTAAAGCAGAACAGACAGCTCACCTATCCTGCTATGAATTAAAATCCTCCTCACCTTGCGTGCCCCATCTTGTCATTATGGAGCTCTGGTGCATTGCCAATGGCAATGAGACAGCAACAGAAGTGTGCCCATCCCAACAGTTGCTTGTTCAAAATTTCACGGTCTACAGATGAGGAAGAAGAAAGTTTGTCCTTCATTTAAAATTCAGATCAAACTACTGTTGGTGTTCCCAGCTGAAGTTGTTTTTATGATTAGATCATTATCAGTTGCATCAGTCACAGAATCTTAGATGCCTTCCTGTGATTTAAAGCCATTATTCTGTTCTGTGCACACTGGGACAATAGGCAACAACTCTTAAACTTCTGATGTGTGGGATCCACTCAGGTACTTAAGGAGTTGTACTGGTCTCTTCAATCATTTTTTCATTAACTAGATATATTAGTTCTCTCATTCATAATTCTTAGTTTTCAGTTCTCCCTGTTCTTTCTTGCAGCTGTTTCAGCTTTTCAGGCTTTCTCTTAATATGGTATCCAGAAATGAATGCAGTTTGCCTGATGGAAATCTGACCAAATGCAGTATATAATGGAAATATTACTTTCTGTGATTTGGAAACAAAATTTCTATTAATGTAGCCTGAAAGTGAATTTGACTCCCCCCCCCCCGCAATAACACTACACCTCTATATTTAGTTTGTGATCAACTATAATTCCACGGTCCGGTTCACATGTGCTATTATCAGTCCATAAATTCTTCATCCTAAATATTTGCATTTTATTTCTTTTTTATAAGATAAGAATTTTGCATCAGTCTCTCTTCCATTTGTTCTATCAATATAACATTGAATATTATTACTGGCTTCTGTTATCTGCACCATTCGATTTTGTGTATCAACAGAGCTGATAATTTGTTTGTTTTTTTAAATTGATCTCCTCCTCCAAAATATGAATGAAAATGTCTTGGGGCCAAGACAAAACTTAAAGCATTTTACATAATAGATTACTCCAGTTCCATGACAAACTGAACATATTTAAAGTACAATTTTAAAGCCAGTTGTAGGACCAACTACTGAACAACATTACAAAAATCTAGTAAAGATACTGCTGCTTAAAAGTCCTTGCTAACGTTTGGATTATGCTCTATTGGTGCTTATCAACTGATTGTTTTATAATCTGCTCTAGAATCTGAAAAGCTATTAATTCAGAGTGACTGGCCTCTATAGCAGTGGTTCTCAACCTGTGGGTCGGGACCCCTTTTGGGGTCGAATGACCATTTCACGGGGGTCACCAAACCATGCTGTCCGCCATTTTTTTCCCTTTTCCCTAGCTGTCCTACTCCCTCTTATTGGTGGCCACACCCACTTGGGGGTCACCACAACATGGGGAACTGTATTATGGGGTCACGGCATTAGAAAGGTTGAGAATCACTGCTCTATAGTATGGTACCTTTTCTTCCTTTTTTAAAGCTAAGGACAGTATTTCTCCTGTAATCTGATACATCACTTATTTTGTAGAAATTCACTAATGTAATCTATAGGTTCAACCAAACTGTCTGTAAATACTTTTAATATCTTGAGAAGTAATCTATTTAAATGTATAGATATGAATTCATTTAGGTTTACAAAAGTTCCTAGTTGGTATTTCTATTAAGCTCAAATTGGGATCTAGATTCTTTAAACAGTTCATAAATGCAAAGTGGAATACATATCTTATTGTCAGAGAAGATAAAAATTAAAGATTCCTTCTCCACAATTCAGTTCTGTTAATATCATGGACGTAACTATGTAGTTCCTTGGCAACATTGTCATTGTCTCTTCTGGAATATTTTAAAAATATTCCTACTTTACCTAGATGCCTGATATTTCTTGGTAGTTTCCCTTTCTTTTTTTTTATTAAACGTTTTACAAATTTAATATAATATAAACCCCTCCCACCCCCTCCCCCCTCCCCCACTTCCCAGAGCTGATTACAGGGTAACAAATAAACAAACATAATCTAACTAACATTAATCAACTATACTATCAATCAAAACCATAACATACTTTAACTCTTTTTCAAAACAAATATTAACAAATTATAAACTCAAATAATAATATAATTAAAACTATTAATAATTATCTAAAATCTACTCATATGTAAGATAATACTTTTCAGTTTCATATCTCTTTTGAATGTAATCAATCCATCTTCTCCAAACCATAATATATTTTTCTTGTGAATGATCCTTTAAATAGGCGGAGATTTTCACCATTTCTGCTAAATTAGACACCTTAAGTATCCATCTTTCATAGCAGGCAGAGAGTTTTTCTTCCAATATTGCCCCACTAATAATCTTGCAGCTGTTATAAGACTCAACATCTTGGTAGCCTCCCTTTCAAGTACTAAATAAAAATTGAATTGTTCTTGTTTGTTATGGTTGTGTCCAAACTTTGAAGGAATACTTTGTTCTGATAATACTTCAGTTGAATCACACCATAGTAGTATATCTATAATCAAAACATAGATGTGCTTCAAAGTAAATCACGAATCTCTATTTCATATAAATTTAATTTTTGCCATAGTCATTGAATAGTTGATATATATCCTCTTTCCATCTTGCTTCTTCAGAGTCCAACTTTCACTTCCATACAGTGTTACAGAGAAAACCATTGCCTGCATGATTCTGATTTTTTACAACTCCTTTTCATATCTCCTTCTCTAAGGGCTTTCATCTCTATCAGGCTACTTTTCACATTAGCTTCTGTCGCCCATGGAAACTAATCAAGGAGAGAAGCAACTTAGAACTAAGGAGAAACTTGCTGACAGTTAGAACAATTAACCAGTGGAACAACCTGCCTCCAGAAGCGGTGAATGCTCTAACACTGGAAGTTTTTAAGAAGAGACTGGAGAGACATTTGTCCGAAATGGGATTGGGTTACATGCCTGAGCACGGGGTTGACTTGATGACCTCCAAGGTCCCTTCCAACTTTATTATTATTATTGTGCATCATCGCACAGTCAGCCAGATGTTCAGACTGGATTTGGCATTTGGTCTACCTATCGAGTCCTTACCCAGGACCTGGGATAGACAGATGTGGATGTTTGATGGTATTACAGATATCATCGCAGGATAGAAGCACTTCCTAGTAAGGCCGCCTTTTGCAATTGATTAATAGCGAATTTGTCAATGCCAATGGTGTTCAAGTGGTGCTCCAGTTGTTTTGGGATTGCACCCAAGGAACCTATTACTATTGGTACTACCCTTGCTTGCTTTTGCCACAGTCTTTCTATTTCTATTTGTAGGTCTTTGTATTTTGTTATCTTCTCCAGTTCTTTTTATTATTATTATTATTATTATTATTATTATCATTATCATTATCATTATCATTATCATTATTACTTCCTACTGTTCTGAATTTAATAAAGTCTATCTTCTTTATATTCAACATTATATGATTATATTCACTTTAGTTTTCCTAAATATAAAGTATTCAAATATTATGAAGATTTGGTATATTCAGTTTGTTTTATCTTCTGAACTGCTTAAGTTCAAGTCAAGTATAGCTGATTCCCTTACTACTACAAATTTGTCATAGATGGGTGGGTTAGGAATTTTCTAACGGAACTTTGCTAAGCAGAGTTTGTTTCCCAGTACATGTTGGGAAAACATATTTTCTCTTTGAGTGTGAAGATTATTGTTTAAGTTGTAAGTGGCATAGAAAAGACTTGAAAGGTACTTCTGTATCCTAAATTATTTTACTTAGCAGCCAGGCTCCCAAATCTTGATTCAGTAAGTCATATAACCTGCTCTGTTGGTCCTGTTACATGGCTGAGTAATCAATCATCATACTTCATGGGCAAATGTTTACCAACTGAATTACAGACCAGGAGCTTTTCCCTTAATATGGGGCCTGGCCATATCAATGAGGGCCATTATCAATCTGCCACAGGTATCTCCATTGTTTCCCACCTTTGTTTCCCAACAATAGTTGCAACCAGTGCTTTTTTTGTAAAAAAAAAAAAAAAAAGGTGCCGGAACTCTCACATGTCATACAACGCGCCTTCCTACCCTACAAGGTTCCATCCAAAAAAGGTGCCGGAACTCCGTTCTGGGAGTTTTATGAGAAAAAAAGCCTTGGTTGCAACTATTGTTCTTGGGGTTGATGTGACTTCTCAATAAGACTTGTTTTAACCATACAGCAGTCTAATAACATCTGTGTTATAGACTGACTAGCTTTAAGGGCTATAAAAGCCATAAGATGGGAAAGAGAAGGCCTAAATATGGTCATATATCATGTTTTCCTGAAACGCTGTTTAGATCTCATACTTTTTAAAATGTATTTTAGAAGAATAATGTGTAGACAGATAGTCCTCAACTTACAACAATTCATTTTGTGACCATTCAAAGTTACAACGGCACTGAAAAAAGTGATTTATGACCATTTTTCACACTTATGACCGTTACAACATCCCCATGTAATCGGCTTGGCAACTGACTCATATTTATGATGGTTGCAGTATCCTAGGATAGTGTGATCCCCTTTTGCAAACTTATGACAAGCAAAGTCAATGGGCAAGCCAAATTCACTTAACAACTGTGTTACTGACTTAACAGCTGCAGTGAGTCACTTAACAAATGTGGAAAGAAAAGTTGTAAAATGGAGCAAAATTAACTTAACAACTGTCTTGCTTGGCAACAAAAATTTTGGGCTCAATTGTGGTTGTAAGTCAAGGACTACCTATAATAGTTTTTCATAGTGTGCTCAGAAAATATTGATTTCTGTGAATTTTTCTTATATAAATCTGAAATTAAACCTGCTCAAAATAGCTTATTTTGATATTAAAGATGCACCCGGAATTTATATCAATATCCCACAACTGTGTGTACAATGAAAATGTAATTCTTGTTTTAGTATTCGGAAAAAGAGTTGTTGTGTGGCAATAAAAATGTATAGAATTATATCTATACATTGGAAAATTAACATTCCAGCATTGCTGGAAGGGGAAAAAAAAAAAGGCCAATGTTGATACTTCACAAATTCATTGTTGAGGCCCTGCAGAACCAGCTTGTTCAATTCCATACTATGAAGCTCTTGTTCACTTGGCAGTGAAACAAATAACCCTATTTTTCTTTGTCAAATATTCAAGAGTATGCAATACTACTCCATTCATTCTTATTCTACCTCCTCACAGAGTTTTCTTTGTATTTTCCTACGTATCTGTATTTTAGTGTTTAGCCTAGCACTTCCTTATTCCTACTGATTTGAAACCAAGCCATGTAGCCATTTGCTTGCAAAGCTCCAGCAATTCATCCTGGGGAAGGAAAGCCTTCAGAGGCAGCGAAACCCTGCAGAGGATGCGTCCTTCTCTTTCACAGCTGAACCGAACAAAGGCTGTTGCAGGCTAAAGAGTCCATGGAAAAATCAACACGGATTCCTCTGTTTTCAGCAGTTAGCAAGTACACACTACTAGTGTTATTAACTATAAAAATAATGTCATGGATATGGAAATGAACTTTAACCTTGCTTCTGTGAAAGGGCAGTTGCTTCCTAAATCATCATTAAATCCAATGCTTAAATAGCAAGGGGCTATACAATTTCTGTTCTTTCAATTTGCACTCTAGTGAAATTTATGTGTGTGTTGGGGCTTTGAAAGTCAATTATGTTCTCAGTTATATCTAAAGAAAGTGTGGAGAAATTCTGCCCAAGTTGGTTAAGGCATCACTAATTTACCCAGTGTGATAGAGAGAAGAATTTCACCACTTGGCTCTTTTCACCCCTGATGAAACCAGGTCCTCACACTTGAAATAAAATCTTTTTGTCTTCTAGTCTATCCATGTGGCTGTTACTCTTGTTCCAGCATCCTTAGAGGGTATTTCTCAAGGCATGAATCTTCTCCTCATTCTTCCCCTGCCCTTCCCTCCTGCTGATGCAGTCCCTTCCCCTTCTCATCTTCTCTTTCTTTCTCCTGCCTAGTCAAAGCATGCCTCACTTAGTGGATGGCTTCCTAGTTGGATATTAATGAAGGCATTTTTTTGAAGCATTTCTTTAGTAATAAACCATTTTGCTCTCCAGTTATAGCAGGTTATCATACATACTTGTTCTGATGGTCAGTCTTATTGTCTGGCATTGCACATACAATTCTTGACTGAGAATTTGGTGGCTGCTATCCTGTACCTATGGGCTCCTTTAATCATATAGGCTGCCTAGAATAATGACCCAACAAATTATATTTGTATTTAGGATTGTAGCTGAAGTCTTAATTTCTGGGCTATTCAGTTTGCAATGGAATATGATTACTTAGCTCCATATCCATATATTTAAAAATAACAATAATAACAACTCATAAGATAATTATTTTGGCTTTCTGTTTTGAAAATTCAAGAAAACTACAGACAGAAAAGGAGGTCATAGTAATATAACACACGCACATTCGCACCCTCAAGATTCAATGAGGAACCACTTCAGAGATCTCATTGGTCCTCTGCAATCGCTGGAGTCTATCATCTATATATCCTTGACATTTGAACTGGCTGCCACATAATTAGCATTCTCAGCAAATTTGGGTCAGGGTTGAACTCTCACCATGCAAATTTGGATTAATTTTGATGGAAATAATAAATTTTCCCTTTAGCTGGCAAAGATTTAAAGATCCTAAAGAGCAACCCTGCTTAAGAAATAATTTACTGGTATATACCATTTCAGAAAGGTACTGCTCAGGATCAGAAAATCCGTTACATTCTATTTGATTAGTTCCTCATTTTTTTCAATCTAAACCATTTCACTGTATTTTTGTATCAGCTTCTAATGTTTTAAAAGAAGAATTTGCATGAAAAGTTATACAAATAATTCTGCAGATCTTTCCTAACTGCAATGTATTTTTCTCCAAAGAGCATTTTGCAATCAAATTTTTCCTGTGTGGATTTTTGTGTTGTTTTTTCCTCTACCAAGAGAGAACTGAACTTCAAAATTCAGCAAAGTGTATCTATTATTCCTGTATATATGCTGTAGCAGAAGCCTTCTTTTTTGAGGTCAAATGATTTCTGAAACATCCAGAACAACCTGTTCCAGGTTTGGCATATCCTGGGCATTTCCAGGGCAAGATTGTGGAAGGAATGGAGCAGAGCAAACAGTCTACACATCTCTGCTATAGTTTTGGTTAAAAAAAATACTAGCAACATGCCATTTAGAGTATTAACAAAGGAACAACTGATTAGTATGTGACTCAGAAAACATATTTCATTTTAATTGAAAACTTTAAACATAATACAGGTCTCTTTTAGGAGAAAAAAACTACAGATGGAAATCAATAATAAAATCATAGGACAGTTTTAATGTTATGCATATTAATTCACTTGTGCTACAGTTGAGGTTATAATACAGACATACTACATGCATATGTTATTGTACAATTATGATTACACACTGAAAAACCTAAATGCCACAGTTTTGATGTACATATTTTCCTCCATCTGTTTATAGAAAGGAAGATTGAATAAACTAAAGCTTTTACCAGCAGTAGCCTCCAGTACGATACTTGCAATAGAATCTGTGGCTGCTGGCTAGTAAACAGTCTCACGCCATCTTTTGAAACCTCCTTTTTTATATAGTGATCTAATTTAAGAAAGACGAATAAACCTGTTTGATTTATATGCAACTTTTAGAATATGTTTTATATGTCTTTTTCTTATTTATATCAGTCCTATTTCAGTGTTAAATGAAAACACACCCAACTGTTTGCTGAGCTTAGCTGTAGGCAAAAACTGAAGAAACAAATTAGACATAATTCAGTGTTATTAAACTACAATTAAAAAAAGCTGGCGGATTTTTTTTCGGCATGTTGTCTTTTCTGACTTGTTATGTATCCTGAGAAGTTTGTTTTAGAAGGGAGCACCAATCTTTTTTCATTTTTAATTGATAAGCATTTTAGCTGATTCTCTAAATGAAAAATTAGGCATATACTAGATTTCCATAATAACTATGAAGGTTTATTGCTTCCTACACTCTTTTTTAGCCACTTTATCTTTCCCACTATAGGTTTCCTTCTTCATCCCTGGGATTGTGTTAGTATTTCGATCCTTGAAAATATGTTCATAAGTGCAGTTTATTGTTAGGCAGGGTAAGCTATTTATCAGATGGGAATAAATGGGAAGTTATAACTTCCTCTTGGTTCTTTTGTTATACTTTGCACATTTCAGTTGAATAATTGAGGATGATTTTATTTTATTTATTTTAATTCCATTGGAAACCTGTTAAATAATTTTGGATGTTCTCCATTTCAAATGAAATTTGCCTTGAAAATGCAGATTTTTACATTTAGAGATCAGAAATGTATTTGTAGTATGTAATAAACGTCAAGTTTCAAACTGATACACAGTACTTTCATTGCTATATTCATCCAAAAAACTGAGAAAAATAAAATGGAATTGTTCCCTACATCTAAATATGACTGAAATAAGAATTTTAATTAGAGATAGGTAATGCTAAATAAAAGTTTGTGGTTGTGAAGGTGAAGCAAAACAAAAAAACCTGGACAGGACCCTTCATGTTTGTGGGTTCTGCCACCTGTGTGTTACACCCATGCACCTTCTGCATGGTTAAGATTTTAGGAGGGAATCCATGATTAAGGCCTCACTTCAAGAAGTAGTGGTGGTCCCTTGTCTTGAATGAAACTGTGGTACATCCCTTAAGAGACCATTCATGGACCTGACCATTTTGGACAACTTTTTTCTGGTTTTCTTTTCTTTTCTTCCACATCTTTCTGAGAACTCGGGAGAGGGCATCCAACAGCACAGGATCTGGTACCATCAGTTATTATTTATTTATTAATATGCTTATATCCTTCCCATGTCACTGTCAAAGACTCTGGACTTCTTACAGCTTCATAAAACAACAATATGGAACAATTATAATATTAAAAACATTAAGTATTAACAATTTAACATTAAAATTATAAAAAAACTGGATTAAAAAGTATCCAATATGTGAATGGTGGAGATATGATCTTCTCCTAGTCTACTAGCCACATCCAGAGGGCCATGAAGGTGGGGGCAGATCTCATCCCAAGAGGCACATTATAAAATAATTTCTCTTCAATTGGTTCATACTTATTCCTTCACTTATAGATGTATATATTTTGTAAACTATCCCAGAACTAAGACACATCTTCCATTATAAAGCAACAACATAATATTTTACAATTATTCATTTTTATTTTTTATCACGCATAATATTACATTTGACATAGAAAGTTTTGGAGTTTTGTTTATGAACCTGAAAGTTGCCACTGACTTATTCTTAAGAATTCACTGTCTAAAGAATATGAGCAAGAAAAGTCTTTATATTATGTGGTACATGTATCAATAATTAATGGGGAATGTTATATTTATAACACAAAAGTGCTACCTGGAGTGTTGTAAATCTTACTTTTATATGCTGGATATGCTTGAGTTAGGAGAGAAGGAAATAGAAAAAAAGTAATCAAGGGACTACTTATGCTCAATAAAATGAAACAATGGTAGTCACTGAAGCCCACAAAAAGTCCTTCACTTGGTAACCAAGACTATTTTGGGATTTTCCAGTGTATTCCATATATCTACAATGAATAGCACCCAAAGAGGTAAAAATAAAATTCCAGATGAAACGGTGCCAAAGAGAGAGGTTTGCGTAAACAGTATTTAGAATGGTCAAAATTTTCTATTTTTTCCATTTACTTTATTATTTATGGAAGTCAAGTAAAGATATATAACTGTCTATTAAACAATGTTATCTTCTAAACCCCAAGAGATATGCCTACTCAGTTGGTGTGCCTAGACTCTAGAATTATATCTTCACAGAGATTTATGTGGCTTTCATCCTAAGATAGATAGATAAATGATAGATAGATAAATGATAAATGATAGATAGATAGATAGATAGATAGATAGATAGATAGATAGATAGATGATAGATCCGTAGTGGTGAACCTATGGCACGCGTGCCACAGGTGGCACACCGAGCCCTCTCTGCGGGCACGCGCACCATCGCCCCAGTCCTAGGCTTTCAGCTGGGTTTTATAAAACCTTTTCACTTTAGGCCTCTGCCGCCGTGTGTAAAAAAAAAAGATTCAATCAATCAATCAATCAATCAATTTCAACTTCTCGTGGGGAAAAAAAAAGATCTCGCAAAGTTGGAATTGATCGATTGAACTTTTTAGTCCCATCCAGTCTGCTGTTACTACCCCAGCCACGCCCACCCAATGGGCCACACCCACCCAATGGGCCATGCCCACCTGGCACCGACAATACATAAGTGGGTTTTGGTTTGCAGTTAGGGTACTCGGTCTCTAAAAGATTCGCCATCACTGTGATAGATAGAAGATGGATGGATGGATGGATAGATAGATAGATAGATAGATAGATAGATAGATAGATAGATAGATAGATAGCATTGTGGTCCATTGGCTGCCAACAGAGCTAGC